TGTCTCAAGCAAAATCGACCGGACCGCTCTTACAGAGACACTCTCTTAAGTTCCTCCTTTTTGGCGAAGTCCGTGGAGCAGTTCGAAAAAAAAATCAATGAAGAAAAAACATTTGTTGGTGCTTTACTCCAAGAGCTCCTAGCGGCGTGCTAATATCTTTTTTTCTCTTTTTAGGCCTGATTTTTTTTAACTCGCGCGACGGACTTAGTCCAAAAGGAGGGACTGCTCGTAATCTATAACAGCACATACTGAAATTCACCGTGACCAGTGACTCAGTCACGTAATTCAATCGTGTATTTTAGGTAGCGATAAAGTGATTTTTTGTTAAGAATTCTAGCCTAATCACACACTGATAGCAAAGTTGGAACCATGGAAACTTTTTCTGTTGCTTTTGTTACTCTAATGACTTTGTGCAGTGCGTCATCTGATGAGTTTGTCCTCCTGAACTTTGCTTTTTCTTGAAAATTTGGATTAATATCAGTATCTGGGCAACTGCCCACCTACCCCTCCCCTAACCCAACATTAACCTTAACTTGTTATCAATTGACTGTTGTTGAGTTAGGGGAGGGGTAAGTGGGCAGTTGCCCAGATACTGATATTGATCCGAAAATTTTTCGTTGACATCTTTTGGTTCCTTATATCCGGCTTAAAAGCATAAATTATTACAGAGCTATTACGCCAAAATCAATGCGTGCATTAACAGCATTGCCTACGCTAGTACAAACTGAAAGCTACGCTCCTATGCGTTCAAGCTCGTCTATAATTAAGAAAAAAAAAATAAATCAGCCAAATACGGTCGAATGCATTATTCGAAACTGAAAGTGTTCCGGCTCATAGGGAGAAACAAGATTCACGACGGTCGGGAGGGAGGGGTGTGTGTGTTCAACGATGGAAAAGGTAAGGTTTCGAACTCTTACGCAAATCCCGGAACGTGCCGTGTAGAGTTAGGAATCCATTGGGGCTGAAATTTTATCCTTAAACCCTTTGGACATACCACGGCTAATTTAACCTTTTACATCTTAATTAATTCTTTTTTTATATCTTAATTAATTCTCCCAACACATTTCTTTGTAAACTTAGTGGTAGAAATGAAACTTTCAAGCTGCTCCGTTTTTCGATTCTCCTATCTTTGTGCTGGACAATATGTTGTTTCAAGGACAAGTTAGTTTCGAGTCATTCCAGGGAAATGAA